CCTCTGTGTTGGGGAAGAACAGTTAACTGTCCTCATGTGCTTTGCTCACTGCTGCTTCTGTGTGGGGGGTGGGGAGACTGTTTAGTGTGGTGAAGGAGCGGCTTCAACTTTTCTCAAAAGTTACTTTCAGCTTGAGGCTTTTTGCCTCATAAAAAGAATTTGAAGTGGCTTTATTCTTATTTAAGGGAAAAGAGCGTTTGGTAAAAATGGAATATTTTTTAGCACTTATAAAACATAATTAAGGGCTTGCTATAATTTATAAAGTCCCAGCTGAAATCCTATCAGGATAAAGTGATGTGCTAGTAGTTGACTCTTCTTCTACTCAAAAATATAAGAAAATTTATGCATCTTTGTAATTAACATTTTCTTTATGTAGTTGTCATGTTCATTTCTGTTGATGTATAGGCTTCAGAAGTGCGTTTAATCACAGGTAATGGGAATTATTTATAAAATAATTTGAGGCACTTTTGAAATTTCTTGCTGAATAACTCAGTTACTGTTTTTCAGCATTTTGATTTGGAACAACTTCAGTATGTGTTTATAAGGGCTTCTTTGTAGAAAGAAAAGAATTTCAAGTTGATAAAACATTTACGTTGATAGTTATTGGAATGTTTTGCAGTGATTTTTCAGAATCACCATAGCAGGGATTCTCAGGACCCCTTATACTGTAAAAAATCATTGAGGATCCCAAAGACTTTTTGTTTATGTGGGCTGTGTCTATTGCTATGTACTGTGTTATAAATTAAAACTAAGAAAATTGAAAAAGATTGAATAATTTTTTAATATATTCATTTCAACGTATTTAATTTCCTTGACTCTGAGAAGACTAGAATCCATTACTTAGGTATATTTAGGCATTTAAGCCATTATTATTTTGTAGTTCTTGCATAATACCCAACACTAATTTTCAATATTAATGGTTGATGTTGACACTCAAAAATTAAGCTGTTTTGGCCTGAGACCTCAAAATAAGGCAAAGGATTCTTACAGTATTTCCTAAGCATATTAATATCTGTGGATTTTACTGTGAAACATCAGAGTAGGGGATAGACATGATTGGCTTTCCTTTCTCTTCTCTTTTAAGACTAAGATAGGTTTCAAAAAGAGCACAACACAGCTCTGTGATACTAGGTAATCACTCAACCTTGGTTTTGATAAGTAGGCAGAAGTATTACCATAAACTACCTTTTTTTAGTTATAGGCCAAACAAAGAATAGACTTTGCAGTGCAAAACTGGGAAAAAAATATATTGTTATTTTTTACAACTAGTCAAATTTTATTTTCAGAAGTTTATTTCAAAGCTACTAGGTTCCATTTTAGACCTTACCTGTGTTAGTAACCTATTTCTACTGCTGCATAAACGAATAATAAGAATAGCTGCAAACATTTATTGAGGGCATACTATGTTCCAGCCACTGTTCTAAGTATTTTATGTGTTTTAACTTTTTTAATCGAACAACCCTATGAAGTAGCTACCATTATCTTCTCTTTAAAGGTGAGGAAACTGAGGCACAGAGGTTAAGTAACTTGCCCAGTGTCTCTCAGCCATGGAATTGGAATTCAAATTCAGGCAATCTGGTTTTAGAGGCTATGCTTTTAACCAACCACTAAGCTCAATTTCCTCAACTAAGTAAACAGAACACCCACCATTAGAAAACAGATAAAATAGATATTGGTCATTTATTTAATTATGATAATTAATACCTTAATTATTATACAGATAACTGCAAATTCACATTTTCCTACGAATTAAAAAAATACATAAATGAATTTTTAACTATGAAAATAAAACATTTATGGGAAAATTTTCAATAGTACATAAAATTCCTAAAATCTTTTGCCCATCTGTATTTCATTTTTTAAATAGACTTTATTTTTGGACTAGTTTTAGATTTACAGAAAAATTGAGAAGATAGTACAGAGCATGCCCATATACTTCTATAACCAGTTTCCCCTATTTATTAATATTGTACATTAGTATGGTATATCAGTTAATGAATCAATATTTCATAATGATAATTAAAATCCATAGTTTATTCAGATTTCCATAAATTGTCCCTTTTCTCTTCTAGGATCCTATCATATTATATTTAATTGTCATGTCTCCTTAGGCCCTCCTTGGTTGTGACAGTTTCTTAAACTTTCCTTGTTTTTGATGACCTTGACAGTTTTAAGGAGCATTGGCTAGGTATTTTGTAGGATGCATCTTGTTTAGAATTTGTCATTTTTTTCATGATTAGACTGGGGTTATGGGATGTTGGAAGGAAGGTAACAGATGTAAAGTGCCATTTTTATCACATCATATCAAGAGTACTTACTGTGAACATGACTTATCACTGTTGATGTTGACCTTGATCACCTGTTTAAGTAGTAGTTGTCAAGTTTCTCTACTGTAACTCTTTTTGTCCCCCTTCTATACTGTAGTCTTTGGAAGGAAGTCACTATGCACATGCTTCACCTCCTTGAGGACAAAATATCTATAGAAATTATTTCGAATTTTTCTATACAAGAGATTGTCTCTTCTCCATCTATTTATTCAGTCATTTATTTGTATCAGTATGGACTCATGGATATTTACTTTATACTTTGGATTATAATCTAGTACTACTTTATTTATTTGTTGCTCAAATTGTTCCACCTTTGGCCATTGGGAGCTCTTGGCTTCTGTGAACCCTTGGCATACCCTCTTCAATGTGAGGTTTTGTATTTAAAAAAAAAAAATTAAAAAAAAACTCTTACTTTCTGATATTCCAAGATGCTCCTAACTCATCTTGTATGTTTCCTTCCCTAGTCCTAGAATCAGCCATTTCTCTAAGGAGCCCTGGTTCCTTTTATTGGAGAAAGGTATTAGAAACCAAGATCAGGGTGCTAAGGTGTGCTCATTGCCACTGAGGTGCCATTTCTTTTAGGCCTTCTCAGCTGACCGAGCAAAAAAATACATGTGTGTATACTAACCTCTATATACACACATATTTATCAATCTATATGTAGCCACCTATATCTATATTAAGCTAAACATGAATTCTCACTGAAGTATGGAACTAAAATCTGTCCCCACATGTATCATTATAGCCTCCTCCCCTAGCTTATTTGTAAGTTTCCACTCCAACAGTGAGATACCTGGCTCCTACCATTGACTATCCATGTACTCAATTGTTCAGTTCCACTATACATGTATTATACTAGTATCAGAATTAACCTGAACCCTCATGGAAAACACTTTATCAACTAGAGTACAGAATTGATGTGCATTTTCCTTGCCTATAGTCTTATAGATTCCACTCATTTCCAAGGCTACTTAGGCCAGCAGTTAGTCCCTTGTATTTTTTTTTTTTTGGTCCTATCATTAAAACTTGTTGGTTGAATGAGTCAGATTCTCCTTAAGGCACTCTATTCTCTCCGCTTCCATCACTGCCTGAACTATTTTTCTGAGCCTCTTCCTGGAATACTCATTGTCCCAGTATACACAGCTTCCAACTTTGCCTGCTCCTCTTATCCTACATATTTCTTTCTCTTGATTATGCTGTTAATGAATGTAATACTTGATGGATGATGGTAAGGTTTCTTGTTTTTGTTTTTTATCCTATAGATAGTTTTTTTTTCTAGTGATTATCTTTTAACATTTCTGAAAACATTGATTGTATTATTATAAAATGATACTATTTAAAAATGATTTCTGTTTGTTTTTTAAGCTATTTCAATAAGGAGCAGTGTAACATAAGAGCATGGCTTCTAGAATTATACTCCCTGGGTTTAAATTCTGGCTCCACAGTTTAGTAACTTGGTGAACTTAGGTGTGCCTCAGTTTTCTCATCTTTACAATGGAGATTTTGAAAATATCTACCTAATAAGACTGATTGAAAGTTAAATGATATAATATCCTTAAAGTACTTTTAGGTACTAAAAGCACATAGGACACAACAAATGTTAACCATTATTAAGCACTAGTGCTATGTAAGGTTACAGAAAGGAAAATTACTTGGAGTATTGTATTTAAGGTGGTTGTCTTTTCAGACTTTTGAGGATTACTTCAGGAGTTTTGAAGGTTAGGGCGATTTTGCTTTCTGGTTTGCCTGGGTTGGTGATTCAGGAGCACACCTGTAAGTGCTGTTATGATTGTGAGTAGCACCCCCCTTTTCACTGGCTAGAGTGTTCTAGTTTGAATGATAAATTATATGGTCACCTTATTTCCAGGGGTTATAAAATGCTGTCGGTAGCCCTCTGACCAGAGTTGGTGTAAGTGAGTGGAGTAGGTGGGCTGGGGGGAGCCAAAGGGAGACTAGGAAAGAATGCACAGCTAAGAGAGCAGTGTTGCTTTGTTCCAGCTCCTTGAGGCCAAGGAGGATTGTGGGCCTGGTATAACCAGATTTTGATTTTTCAAGAGTAAGCAGAAATCTGGAATTTTTTTAATGAGCCCCAAATTTCATCATTGGAAACTAATTCAATTTTTCTAAAAAGCACAAAAATTAATTGAACTATATAAAGGTGTATGCATTTTATCATATCTGTGAGTTGCTGACTTCTAATATCTTATAATTCATTCAAAGAATCACTTCTAACATGGAAACTTAACATATAAGTATTCTTGAGTATTGGTTAATATATCAGACACTGTAGGGCTTTAACTGTTACCATATGTATAAAAAAGTATAGTAGAATAAAAGCTATAAGACAGGAAAACTTACCTTATAAAGTTGCTGCAAGGGAAATCTGGAGAGCATATTTAGACTGAGAAAACTGCAAAAGGTAGTGCTAAATTCATCATAACTGTGAGTGCCTTTGAAATCTTTAATGAACTAAAATGATTAAAGGTAATTTGAAGGTTATACATATAAATTGTACATAATTGCTGTGGTAAAAATAGAAGTGAACGTATAGTAGGCAAAAATTGTGGAATCATTGCTTGTACTTGAAATTGTGCTTCAAAATAATCTTTCATAGTTTAGATTCCTGAAACTTGGTTTTGGAAACAAATTTTAAAAATGTTTTTCCTTTTTAAGACTGTTTTAAAGAAGTCATTCATATACGTCTGGACGAACTTCTCCGTGTTTTAAAGTCTGTAATGAATAAACATCAGAACCTCAATTCTGTTGATCTTCAGAATGCTGCAGAAATGCTTACTGCAAAAGTGAAAGGTAAGAAAGATATATTAAAAGTGGGTTAGTGTGGGCAAAAAAGGTCCAAGTGATACATTTTTTGTTCATAATGACTACAGAGCATCCCCTCATGACATTTGTGTGATGTGTACCACTAGGAGTTACGTATACCTCAATACTTAATGTTCCCACTGTCACACTTAAAACACTCTTCCTTTTAAAAATTTAAACTATTTGGCAGGAAACACTCGAAAAATACTGATAACTGTGAAATAAACTAAACAACTGATGTTTAAAATTTTTTAGTTTTTTGAAAGAGTCCACGCTCCTTTGAAGTAGGTTATTAGTGGACAAAAAGGCTTTGTTATGTGAGGACAAGTGGTGCTAGAAAATGGCCATTTGTTGTGACTCCACTTAAAGGAGGGAAAAAAAATGGAGAAAAGGACTTAATTGGAACTGTATTTGAAGTGTGAAAGAATGAAACTTAAATTGTAAAATAAGTTTATCGTCTGTGTTTATGTATGTATGTGTATAAAACATGTGCTAAATGAATCAAGAATTGGGACATTGTCTGATGAAATGACTTGCCAATCAAAAATGTTAGAATCTGTTATTCGGGGCTGTGGTATATAAGAAAGACAGGGTGAAGGGGGTATTTGAGAAGAGATGAGACTGGAGGCATCAGTTAGGAGATTGTTAGAAATAAAGGGCTAGATGATGAGGGTGGACAGTCTGATCTAAGGCAGAAGTTGGGATGTGGTAGAGGTGGAATGTGGTTACAGAAAAGGGGATGGATGTTGATTTGGCGGAACATACCACAGGCTGTATGTTAGGGGTTAAGTTGGAGTTTGGAATTGAAGAGGACTTGAGAATTATTGATGTGTAGTAGGTGGTGGAAAAGGACAACACCAACTCAGGGTGTGCCAAGTAAATAGAGGACTGAGTATGAGATCCCAGGGACAGAGAGAAGATAGAGGAACCTAAGAAACACCTAAGAAGTGAGGAGATGATCTGGAGAAAGATGTCATGGAATTTAAAAAGTGCAAGGTTCTAAGAAGCGATCGTCAGTGTTCAGTGTCACTGATAGGTAATATGAATTCAGATAATGTTGAAATCTATAAATGTGACTCCCTGTGGATTTGGTAAGGAAAGGAAAGGCTTCACTGGGGAGAGGGATTACCTGTCCTGAGTCTCAAAGGTAGAGTAGGCCTTAACTAGACTAGAAGGAGTGTTGAGGACTGATAGAGGGCGCTTGTACAAGAACTCTGAATGTTGAAGAACTTGATGTGATTGGTGAACACACTCATATCTAGAGAGGGCAAAGGGCAAGTGTCAAGGAATGAGGCGGGAAGAGAAAAAAAAGATCTGTTCATTAAAATATAGTCCATATACTTAAAAACTGCCTCCCCTACTTTTGACATAGATTTATCATGTTTTTGTGTGGTTCTCTTTTTTCTGTATTTCAAGCACTGAAAAAAAATGTTGATGGATTTAAATGGGAAAAATGGATAACTTCTATTGTGACTTTTTAAAATGTGCTTAGTAACCAAATTTGTTTTTAAATAGACTGTTTATAAGTGCCATTTAACTTAGATAGGGAAATTTGTGTCTATAGATAGTAAAATTTCCATGCTTGGAAATAGCGACCACAGTTCATTCAATTGTTGTCAGTAGCTATTGTGTTCAGTCAGGATGTCCTGGGGAAGGAGTGTGCCTGTGTATAGTTGGTGTCCACATTCCAGAAACAGACTTGAAGAAAGTGGCCTCTCAGCTGCCTTGAAGATCTTTTTTCTTTGAGGTAAAGCAATCTTTTGAATATTGTTTCCCACTATGACTGTCTTTACCCTTAGGTTTATTGTTAGGATTTTACTTTTGTGTTGGATGAAATTTAAAAGATTATTTTGTTGGGAAATTTACTGTGTTTCAGTAGGACTTCATGAGACTAGAGATTTGAAAACTTTAAAAATTGTGTTTTCTTATGGTATAATTGTGTTTTTAAAGAAAACTCTCCCCTCTTATTCTTGATCCCATTTAAAAATATCATTGATAGCCCAGAAAAACCTTCAGTGACCTAAAAAATTGAGATCAAATCAGAGCTTATTTAATTCTTTCATTTAAAGATAATTTCGTTTTCAAACCTTGGAAAGGCAAGAGAGAGGTAGAAACTGTTCTTGAACATCTGTTCTGTGACATTCTAACTGTTTTGCATAAGCTGTCTATAATAAAGGAACATTTTTATTTCTATTTTAAAGAGGAAAGCATAAGGAAAACCATTGTATATTAGGATCAGAAAGCTGTCAGGAATGTGGAGATTATCTTGTCCTAACCCCTGATTACATTTAGAAAACAGTGGTGACCTGACTTGCTTTGAAGGTCTTAACTGTCAAATACATTTTGCAAATATACCAAACCATTTTAAAAAATAACATATAAATACAGAGTAACTTTAGAATCAGAGAGGTATAAGCTTGTTTGTGCTGCTACAGGCTTAAATGTGTGAAATCTATGCATTTCTGTGCATAATAAGTGAGAAATTGGAATCTTACTCCTTTTACTTTTTATTTTAAATGTGGAATTTACCCTTTAATAACTTTAAAAGAAAAATCCTTAGCTTTCCCCTATTTATTCTCGTAGTGATTTGTATTTCCTGTGTCTCCTCCTGTTTCCAAGCAGGAAGTTTAGTCTGACAAAATATTTGCAATATGGTAAGACAGATATAGCCTATTTTTTAAATAAAGACATCTTCAGCATTCAGTAATTTATTATGTACTTAGTATTTGTGTTTTCATTAGTATTTACAATTATTTTGGTCAATTGTATTTGTGATATAAATTAAAAGGACGATTTATTTAGGTTTTTCTTGATCTGCATTTTACCCTATATTTAAAAATTGACTAACAAAAGAGAAAAAAAGCTATAATTATACCTACAAAATTATAGAAGCCTCCTGTTTTCTTTGTTTTGAAAACTTAATTTTTTAATAGACAATTCATTTACTCAGTTCATAATGGAAATGGTATAAAGGAGATTCAGCAGTGAAGTGTCTTTCCTACCTCAGACTTAGCCACCCATTCCTTTCACTAGATAAGCAACAACTGTTACTGGTTTTTCTGTATCTTCCAGAGACATATTACTCATATATAAGCAAATACTGTATGTTCTCTTTTTTACTCTCCTTTTTACACAAATGGTAGCATTCTGCACCTTGCTTATTGTTTTGAGTTATCTGCACATAAAGGGTTTCCTTATTTTTTTGTTATTTGTTTTGCTTTTTCGAAGCTGCATGGTTATTCATTATATTGATGTAGTATAATTTATTTAACCAGTTTACTACTAATGTTCGGATTGTTTTCAATTTTTTTCTGTTAAAAACAGTGCTTTAATGAATACCCATGTAAATTCTTAGATGGTAGTTACTGGATCAGAGAGCGTGTGCATTTATATTTTGGATATTGCTGACGGCCCTCTGTAGAGATAGTAGTGCTGAAAGGCCTATTTCCTCCTGCGCTTTTGCCAACAGAACTGGTTACCAAGCTTTGTTATCCAGTCTTTGTATATCTAATTATAGTAAAAATTTGTATTTCAGTGTAGGTTTGATTTACATTTCCCACATTTTATGAGTACAGTTGAGTATCTTTTCAGATGTTTCATGCACATTCTTTTATGTGAATTGACCCTTTAACCATTTTTTTCTTGATGGTGGGTTTTTTTTTTTTTTTTTTTAGCATTTGTAGAAAATCTGTACAAGTAAAATTCGCCTTAATCTTTGATATAGGTTGCAAATTTTCTTTAGTTTTTTATCTTTTGATTTGTGTATGGTATTTTGTTTTATTTTTGCATTTAAATTTATTAATCTCTTGTATGGTTTTGGGGTTTTAGGAATTAGGAAGGACTTCTCTGCTCTGAGATTATAATAGCATTCTCCAGTGTTTTTTCTTCTAAAGTTTTCATGGTGTCATTTATTAAATAAGCTTTAATAAGCCTAGAGTATTTATGTGCTTAACTAATTTATCAAATAATTCATCTTTTCCCCACTGATTTGTGATGCCATCTTTATCATAAATACTAAATTGTCACATATATTTATATCTATTTCTGGACCTTATTCTGTCCCATTGACTTGTGCAGTCTTGTGCCAGTACCTGGTAAGGATAGATCCTCTTTCCATTACTCTTTTTGTTCAGGATTTATTTTTCCATCCGGATTTTTGAATTGGCTTGTCTAGTTTCAAAAAATATCTTGGTATTTTGAGTGAAATTTATAAATTAAATTAAGGACAATTTATATAACTGGCATTTCTATCTGAGAATATAGTATGCATTTTCTTTCAAGTTGTCTTTTGTGTTTCTCAGAAGCAACTTAAAGTTTTCATTTTGTAAATCTTGTTTTTTTTACCCCAAGCATTATTTTTCCGATGCAAATGGTGAAAAATTTCTTCTGTTGTATCTTTTAATTCAGTGGTTTTCAAACTGTCAAACCCGATTTATGACATCAAGTTAGTAGACTATGACCTACATTTTTAAAATATGAAAAAAAATATGAAAAAGATCAGAATGCAACACTCGTATAAGATTTAAGGATATTCCAAAAACTTTATAGGTGTTAATATAACTGGTAACTATTATATATGTATGGCATACTTGGTCATGATGTGTAATATGTATTTCTTAATGAAGATTGTAGTCAAAAAAGTTTGAAAGTTGCTATTCTAAAAGGTGTATGTATGAAAGCTATTCATATGATTTCTTAAAGCGTATGATTTCTTAAAGATACATTTCTTAAATGTATCTTAGTGATATTGTTATGATATAATAGGGAGTCCCAGAGAGACAATTATTTGAACCTAGAGCGAAATTTTGATGAGATTTTGAAAAATGGCTAATAGATGGGCGAGAGTAGAGACAGACACTGATACACTGATTAGCAGGTTGTTAAATAGTCCAGAATAGAGGTACAGTGTGACCTTTTGAACTAAGGCAGTGACAGTAGGAATGGAAAGAACTAAAAAAAATATTTTAGAAACATTTTGAAAGCTAAGC